TCAGTGATTGGGGTTTTCCTCGAGGGTTCACGTGATAGGTTTTAGTAAGTATCGAGCAAAGACCACCAACAACAATCAAGAAAAAAATGTTAGAAGTGAATAACAAAAGCTATCATTTATAGTTTACTTATGTACCAATCATTGTGCTTATGGGTTAATTTAGATTACAGTGATTCTGTATTTATTTAGTATCTCATTTGATGGCATAAGATTATAGTGGAGGAAATCCAGTCACACATTACATTTCTGCAACTCCTATGGAAACTAGTTGTATCCTATACTGATCCTTTCTTCAAGTGTGGTAGGAGATTTTGCTATCTCAAAAAGATCATAACCTCTTGGAAGGCAGGTGAGTTGCCTCAGATGTGGTTTCTTCACTCTGCAGAGCAACTTATTTCAGCTCTGTGCATATAGTAAATACTTAAATGGAGACATACTTTCAAAAGTTCTAAAAGTCACTAAGATATATTTGTAAAAACAGTAGTATAAGGATTAAAGTTCGAAACCAAAGGAAAGTAAGCCTTAATTTAATCACTTGCATATTTCTTTTCATAGAATGCTTATTTTGTTAAGCTTTTAGCTTCTTCTGGCACAGTATAGGTGTTGACAGAAGCTCTCTTTTTCGTTTCTAGATAAGTCAACCTGTAAACAAAGCCTGAAAATAAAAATACTTGCTTTGAAATGATTTTTTAAAAAACCGTACAAGAATTCAAGGCTGCATATGTCACATCTTAATTATGACTATTTAAGATACACATTTTAAGATCCTTTCCTTTTTTTGCTTTTTTTATTACAACAGTAGTCACTTGATGGTTAATAGATGCTGGCATTTCTGTTTGCAATTTGCATTTAAGATATTTTTATAGTTCCTCTTAGGAAATTAAGATCCATGCCTTTCTTTTTCTTTCTGCTTTGATCTTGTGCTTCCCAAAATGTGTTGCTCAGAACACTAATCTCATTAGATATCTCTCAAAAATAGATGCTGTCTTCAAATATATTTGGAAAATGTTGTATGAAATGTGCTTTTAAGAGGTTCATTGTATATTAGAATAATACCGTTTGTGAAAAGTTAGGAAGTGAAGGTACATTACATGTTGCCTAATCATAAATTTTGCAATGTTTTTTGTTCTTGGAAAATGTCCCTCTCTCCCATTCCTAGGGATGGTAGTTAAAATATTTAACCAGCACGTGGGCTCACCAGCCCGTCTGCTGACCACCTCTTTGTTTCCTCTGCTCTATAGGAGCTCATGTCCATGGGAGACTACAGCTCCCATAAATGACTGTGCGAGTAGAACTGAAAGCATCTCTTAGCTGTGAATCAGGGCTTACAGATGGGCACTAGAAATTGCCTTCCATGATGCAGTGCCAACCCAAGGTCACTGTGCCCCTACTGGGATGCAGCCTGATTGGCAAAGGCATCGACAGATCAGCACAGGTGTTGGTCTTGGTGCTGGAGCAACTTTCTGGGACCTCTGCTGCGCCAGACCTCAATCTTTTGGTTGCTGGGCTGTGAAGAAACTTAAGAGGTTCCTGAGTGAGAGGCTATGGTGATAAGACTTACTGGAACAACTACTCAGAGAACTTAGTGCAGTAACTATTTACCAACTGGTTTGAAAGTATTTACTATTCTTTCTTCTGTACCACTGTACCAATGTATACCCCAGCCGATTGTTGGTTCTGCCAATGAAACTTGTCAACACTCCATGTAATTCTGGTTCTGTGGGACACCCTTGGACAGCTGCTAATCTATACCACTTGGATGTGTGAAAATGCATCATTTTCTCTATCAATTGCTTATTACAAAGCCGTAGTGTTTAAATATGCAGTTCTGCTTGTGTGGAGAATTATCAAATTTTGGGATAACTTTTGAGCTTTGTAAAATCAAGAAACAAGAGATGGCACCAAAAAATAATGACAGATAACTTGAGGCATCTGGATCGGGGGGTGTATTATATTACAATAAGATAAAAATGTCCAATAACATAGTTAAGCTTTCCGAAAAAATGTTGCTAATGTAAAACTGACTAAGTCACTCTATTGTCATCTTGTCACATTTTGAGATTAGAGTTTAATATACACCCACTCACCCACCCACACAAAAACACACACATGCAAATAAGGATGATTGTATGCAGAATCCTTATAGTATAATCTTCATTTGCCTTTCTATGGCATGTTTTTTTTATTGTAAAAAAATTCATCTATGCTCAGGGATCAAGTTAACAGGAATTATAAGAAACTCATCACACTCTCTGTAGACTAATTCCTACTTCTTTAGTCTCTTTTTTCATTATTCCACTAGGAAAATTGATCTATTCCCTTGGCTCTAATATAGTCTTACTGATTTCCACCCATCAGTAGATTTTGTATCTGTTTTTGTTCTGGAACTTGTATTATTCAGAATAATGAATATATAAAAAACTGTACAATAAAAGGAGGTAAAATAAGGCTAGTAAGATTTGGGAGGCACATAAGACCTACTAGAAAGAGAATGTTGACTCAGGAGGCTAAGATAAGAATGGAAAAAAACACACCAAAAGTGGACTGGGGGCCGGGCACAGTGGCTCACACCTGTAATCCCAGCACTGTGGGAGGCTGAGGCTGGTGCATCACCTAAGGTCAGGAGTTCGAGACCAGCCTGGCCAACATAGTGAAACCCAATTTCTACTAAAAATACAAAAATTAGCTGGGTGTGGTGGTGTGTGCCTATAATCCCAGCTACTTGGGAGGCTGAGGCAGGAGAATCGCTTGAACCCAGGAGGCGGAGGTTGCAGTGAGCTGAGATTACCCCACTGCACTCCAGCCTGGGTGACACAGTGAGACTCCATCTCAAAAAGAAACAAGACTGGACTGGCTTAGGAAAGAAATCTTAGATAGTTCTTAGAGAATAGCAGGGAATTTCCTCCAATAAGCTATGAATTTTGATTAAAAAGATACAGAAGGAAGATTTTAAGACATTTTGTTGTAATTCATTAATAAGATATCCTGTGAAATAATTCTGGAACGCTCCTCAGATATTCTTGACTATCAAGCTAATGTTTGATTGTAATAGTACAGAGACTCATCCTGAAATAAGCCAGTTACATATTTTTGTTATAAATGTAACATTTAGTCTGTGATGCTCTTTCTAATTCAGTTTTCTAAACGTACCCATTTTCAAGGTTCATAGTTCTTCCAGGAAGATTTGCATAGTATTTTGTTCCTCAGTGATGGGGAATGGCATCTAAATCCTCTCAAGTGTTGACCCTTTCTGTGTGCCATCTATGTATAAATTTTAGGAGGAAATGTCTTGAATCTCCAGCCAGAATAAATCCTAAATTCCTAGCTCCAGGATTACTGTTATGCAGCTTTCTGCCTGTTTGATCCACCGTACATACTGAATGGATGATCCTGAGCTTGTTAACATACCCTTCTACTTGGTCGTTATGGCCTGTAGGAATTTGTACCTTTTATCAGTTTCAGAAATGAATTAAGATGGTTACATTTTTTGTGTGTTTTTCTAATTAAATCAGCATTAATTTCTAAGCATTATGAACTCATATCTCTGTCTTTGCAATTAACATATTCTAACTATTTGTTTATTTCTTTCAAATTGTGACATACTTGAGAGTAGGGGCTGTGTGCTATGATCTTGCACCTAGCAACACTGTCTGGTATGTCTTAGATGTGCTATAAATGTGAGTGAATGAATGAATTTTATCAACAATTTCCTAAGTAAGAAAAGAAAGCTAAGAGGAAATTTTATATCTATCTTTTTTTTTCTTTTCTTTTTTTTTTGATATGGAGTCTTGTTCTGTGGCACAGGCTGGAGTTTAGTGGCATGATCTTGGCTCACTGCAATCTCCACCTTCTGGGTTCAAGCGATTCTCATGTCTCAGCCTCCCAAGTAGCTTGGACTGTGGACGTGTGCCATCACGCCAGGCTAATTTTTGTATTTTGGGTAGAGATGGAATTTCACCATGTTGACCAGGCTTGTCTCTAACTCCTGACCTCAAGTGATTCACCTGCCTTTTCTTTCACAAAGTGCTGGAATTACAGGCGCTAACCACTGTGCCCTGCCCTATATTCTTTGAATTAAAAAAAAAAAAAAGACAAAAAGGCAAAAAAAACCATGAAGTATAATGAAAGCAACATAGGGCTTAGGCTAAAAATACCTGAATTCAGTATCTAGCTGTCCCATTTATCAGGAAATTTTAAAAATTTCTTTAAACAAGTCACTGAATTTCTCTCAATCATTTTCATCAAATACAGATAATAATCCATACTATACATAATTATCATGATGATATAAGATTAAAATTCTTAGTGTAGACCTTCATAGAGAAGATAAATAAAATCAGTGTATTTAATCTGAACGAATAATTTATTGACCAATGGCAAAAGTTGAGAGGCTCTATAGGAAAAACAGAGTCAGGGACAAGAAGTGATGTCCTCCTGACTCCGGATTGCTTAACACTGGAAAAGGCCATGGAGTAAGAAATTTGTGAAATTTCTCTTATTATTGAGACATTTTCTTGCTCTTAAATAGTAAGAAAAGACTAACTGACCTTTGAAGGGACTGACCTACCATATATTCCCTGACTCATCAGAGAAAACACAATTTGTAGATAAATCAGGAGAACCTGCTTTTCTACTGCGCCAAACATAAAGTAAAAGTTTGGAAATGTCATATCTAACTAAAAACTCATTTAATTCTTTGGTCAAATCAAGGGACACCCTCATCTCTTAATCTTTTAAAATTAACCACATGTTTTACACAGTGTGCATACATTAAGGAGCAGTAGAGAGATGGGAGTTTTAATTTTTACCAATTCAATTTAAATGCAAATTTTAACCACTCACATGATGCTACTGTGTACATAATTAAACATCATTATATACTACATGAATCATTTAGAAACCACCCGAGAGCCATTCTACAATGTAAAACATGCATTATACCGACAGGCAGCCAAATGACGTATATGTCTGTCCTCATTAATGTTCTTTTTGAATTATAGGTCAACCGATTATGGAACAACCTATGAGAAGCTGAATGATAAAGTTGGTTTGAAAACCATTTTGAGCTATCTCTACGTGTGTCCTACCAACAAGCGTAAGGTAAGAAATGTATATTCGGCATGCTACTCATTCACAATGTGACTTCTGTCTTGATTGGCTAACCTCTCTAGCTACCTAAAAATCCATTACAGTTAAGCTGGGATTAGAAATGTTAAGATGAGTTGATGGATGTTAAGGTTGTAAAATGTCTGACACATCATAATTTTCAGATCAGCAGCTGTGAGTGTAAGAGGTCGCGGGATAGGTAGATCATTACCATTTCCGAAAGGCAGCTACAAAGAATGAGTCTTGTTGAGTGAATGCCGCTCACTCTCTTGTAAGAGTTCCTACCGGTCAATCACAAGAATTAGAATGAGTCTTGACAAGACAGCAGAAAAGATGGCTTTTCATCTGATGTCCCAGTTTTTCCTTAACATGGAACAAACGGATTAAGTAGAATTTAAGTGAATGCATTGTCCTACAGCAGATAGGAAGTTTCATTTTTAATGTTGGTTTAGTCTGCACACAAATGTCAGGATGAATGCAATGCATTTAGCAGAACAGGGGAGCTTGGAAAGAGTGGTAAGATTAGTCTCTTCTGAGCATGGATCTTAGCTGCAAGGAGCCTTGGAGATGGTCATATACAACACCCTTATTTGCAGATAAGAAAACTGAGATTCAGAGAAAAGAAATAGTCTGTGCCTGTTGCAGTTACGGCCACAATTGGGACTAGAATTAAGTTGTCTTGGTTAGCAGTCAGTCATACTTTTTCCTCTGTGTCATACGTCTCCTATTAAAAGCGCTTACCTACTCCTCACATACGTCATTTTTTAGGAAGAAAATACTACTTTTAAATGAGAAAGACATTATTTGTCTCAGAAGAGGAGTGGTTCTACATCTATACCTTTGTTTTCGTAAACTTCCATTATCAAATTCTGAGTTCTGACATAATTGCTAAGTATTACATAGGTTACATGAACTAATAGTATTAATCAGGAAAAAGAAATGTGTCATTCCTGAACGTATCCTAAACCACAGTGCGTTATGAAGGTAGCAATGATGTATATGTTCTCATCTCAGATTTTTCATTAGCTACTCTTAGTGACCTTGGGTAGGGTCTACGTTTTGCCATCTGGACTATGGAAGGTGATGAAAATATCTCTCAAGCATTCACTCTCAATCCTGGCTGCATGTCAGAAGGACTAAGTGGTCTCCAAATGTGCAACCTCTAGTCCCACCACTGTTGCTCTGGATTAGGGCTCAGGTAACTGTATCTTGATAAAGCTCCCCAGATGCTTCTATAGGTATCTAGGATTAAAAACCACTAATATAAAATGTAACATGTTCACTCTGGCTGTAGGCATTTCAAGTTTTTCAGTAGAAACAGCATAGCTTTTCAGCTGAGCATAGACTCGAGTCAGAAGACCAGTAAACACCCAGCTAAACCAGTTACTAAGTATATAAGCATGGTGATGTACTTAGTCTCTCCAAGCAGCATTCCCTTTAAAAGGGGAATGATTATATGGTACCTACCTCATGCGGGAAGTCGTATGAATTATATGAAATTAGGCATTTCAGGTGCTTAGCACAGAATAGTAAAAGCTTAATTGTTTTCTCTTCACTTCATTCTTTTTTCTTTCTGCAGTGTCCAGTAGAAATTTCTGTGATTTTAGAAATTTTCCTCTAAGCTGTCCTGTACTTTAGACATTAACAATTTATGACTGTTGAGGATTTGAAATATGGCTGGTGTAATTTGAGTAATTGGATTTTAAATTTCATTTAATTTTAATTCATTTAAATTGACATAGCCATGTGTGGCTGTTGGCCAGAGTACCACACAGCCAATAATGTCAGCCTCACAAATTTAGGATTATACCTTGAACATTCCTATCTTCCCTTTACTGGCTGGGTACTTCATCAACAATTACAGCTAAACAATTTTGATCTGCTGTATGCAGTCCCAAATTGAGGAACTGAACTTATACCTTTTATTTCTATAATGAGATTTAGTTGTTTCTTGGCTTTGAATTGATTTTTGTAATCTCTATTGATTTTTCTTCTAGTTCATATTTTTAGCAAATGTAATTTAATAATCTACAAACTGTATGCTAGGCAATGCTACGCACCACAGGATATAAAGAGAAATAAGCCAGTGACTCATCTTCAAAGGTCCTGTATTCTAGTACTAAATGTGGCATGACTGTTTGTAATTGAAAGATCCCTGAACTAAGATTCAGGAATCCAAGTCTCTGCCTTGATTCTAATTCTACCTAACAGGTGACTCTGGGTGAATCGTTTACATTTTCTCCAATTGTAAAGTCATATAGGGAAATGGAAGAAATTTACAGCTGGAAGAGACCTCAGAATAATCTAATGATAGTCTCTGTTTTATTGATGCTATTAGAGATAAACATGAAAAAATAAAAATATGCCAAATATTGAATGTGATTATAAGCTTTTCTGTAGCTGGAGATTATATGGTGATGACCCAGAAACTCCAGGATTGTTTTAAGCAGTGGGACTCTCAAATCCAGATGTAACTGCTCCGACTGGAAGGGAAACAGAGAAGCAATACAGCAAAGAGTCTAACCATTGAATCCATTCAAGTCGTTACACCATTAATCAGGCTGCATAATTAGTCCATAGTTATCTGAAGGACTTTTAAAAGGGCATTTTACTGATCTTAACACTTGACACACCCTTGTTTTAGAAAAAGAGAAGTTCCTGTGTGTGACTGTGAGGGAATGGCTTTCTCTGGGACTGTTACCCTTCAGAGCAGAGGTGGTCCTGAGCTGTTTAAATCACAATGTTATGAGTGAACCTAAAGTAAGGGATCTTTTCCTCTACAGATAAATGAGGCCTTTAGGGTCATTTTCTGAGATGCTGATAGATTTAAGAAATATTGGAGGACAATGAAGGTCTTAACAATGGTACAAAAATCAATAAAGTTGACATAGCAGTATATTTGTACACAGTTTTTCTACTTTTGAGGTGAATTTATCACCATGAAATATGTACTCCGCCCCCCCAAAGGACATATTTGAATCAAAGAGATAGTACTTGCACAACATTTTAAACTGTGAATATATTTTCTCCAATCAATGAGAATTTATGTTAAAAAGAGAAAAGAAAGAAATTTCAGGGTCTGTTAATTATGCAGAACAAAGACAGTGCTCAAATTTGCTCCAGTTCTCCTGGGACTTGTGCCATCCTCCAGTGAAAAGGGCAGGCTCCTTTAAAAAGTTGTATTAATTCTCTCAGGTCTCCAGGGTGCCATCTAGCAAGTTAAAATCTTTTGTACCAGATACTTCTCTCTGCTTTTCACACTAGTGGGAGCAGCTGGAATAAAACTGACAACATCAGGGTAACTCTGCATTCCCTGAAACCTGTTTTGCCTTCACATTCTTGTAGCTATTTTTAGCTGTTTGTGCGGACAAGAGCAGTTCTTCAATCATCATGTTTGAAACAGCAGGCTTCATGCCTCGGCTTTGCAGGCAGCTTGTTAGGGGAACTAGCGAGGATCAGAGTCCAGAATAAAACAGGATCCTATTTACAGTTTAAATTAATGATCGTCCATGGGCTGTTTCCCTGCAAGCCTGCTGTAAATTACAGCAGCTTTCCTTGACTAGTGTCTGTTGCGGTAAAAACTGTAATCTCAGTGTACGTCGGTGTAAGGAATCTTGACTCAGAGATAGAAAGAGGGCTCCTACGTATTAGCCTAGATTGTTCACACTCTCTTTCAAAGGAACCCCGCATCTGGCCTCTGATCTATGAGGTTGGCCCAAAAGAACAAGGCTGAGTGGTCCTAGTGCCACAGGAAAGGCAGGCTGGCTACCTGTCACCATGTCTTAGAGGGAGAACAATTCCCCCCGCTCCAGTTCATGATAAATTCCAAGGCTTGTTTGTATCAGCAGAGGTTTATTGGCCACATACAGTTTGCTATAAGAAAAGATGATTTAACCTGTACCTGAAAGGAACAGCTGGGATGCAGAAGGTAATGGGAAGAACAGATAGAAATGCAGCAAAGAAAAAAATGTTGAAATCTCCATTTCACTCTTACATTGTCTGTGAGTTTATGCGTATTCTGCCTAAAAAGAAGACTTCTGTATACTCTGTGTTTCTTTATCAGCAACACCTTTCCCATCACCCCCAACCAGCCTTAGCTTTTCCCCCTTCACAAGGGATTGTGTAACATCTTCAAGGATTGAAAAATACAAAACCCCAGCCAGGCATGGTGGCTCACGCCTGTAATCCCAGCACTTTAAGAGGCCGAGACGGGAGGATCACGAGGTCAGGAAATTGAGACCCTCCTGGCCAACATGGTGAAACCCTGTCTCCACTAAAATACAAAAAATTAGCCGGGCGTGGTGGAGTGCACCTATAGTCTCAGCTACTCAGGAGGCTGAGGCAGGGGAATTGCTTGGACTTGGGAGGTGGAGATTATAGTAAGCCAAGGTGGAGGTTACAGTAAGTCGAGATCGTGCCACTGCACTCCAGCCTGGCAGCAGAGCAAGACTCCCTCTCAAAACAAAAACAAAACAAAAAACAAAACCGCAAGTGGAATTCTTTTAGCTATCTTACCCTTATAGTCTCAGCACACTATATTCTAGTAAAGAAAAAATGTAGACAGTATTTGTTCTTTACGTTTTCTACACCCCCTTCACACTCCAGCTTCTTCTCATTTCTGTGTTATCACCACTTAATTTACCTCATTCCTGCTGAGAGACTCTTCCAAGACTTTCATTCTATAAACAGACCTCCTCAGAACACATTGATCATTCCTACAGGTCTCTTGGTACATACCAGCATTAAACACTGTTTGCGTTTTCTCCAGATGTTTAGGTTTTAATTACCGTATTGTATGTGACACTTTCTAAATAAGGGTTTGATTGTTGACTTATTGTCTCTTTATAAATTCCTCTTGTCATTTGGCTGGGTGGTTTGTATGTCATGTATGTGACCCTTTTGTTTTTTTAGGTGGAGTCTTGCTCTGTCACCCAGACTGGAGTGCAGTGGTGTGATCTCGGCTCACTGCAACCTCCACCTCCCAGGTTCAAGCA